TTTTTTTTTTTTTTTTTTTTAATTTTTGAAATCTTACTTAACTTTTTGAAATCTCACCCTGTTTTTGAGAAAGGGCGAGAAATTCTCACCCATTTTTTTTTCTGAGATGAAAACACTGATTGACAAATCAACTCAGGGTATTAGGTTTATGGTAGAATAAGAAACAAACTATCCATTGAAATATTTATATTTCCCATTACTTCTACATTCTATTGTGTTTCAAAATTTTTATACGTATGTATAATTAGAAATTTCTAATAATGTGCTGAGGTATTCTCACAAAAATTTGAGATACTAGTTTTCAATACATTTGAAACTGTTGTTTTTAGAAGAAAATAATTTATTTAAACTTATGTTTTAAATACTATTTTGCCAAATCTGTGAGTCTTGTTTCATAATGATACTTTTAAAATATATAGATAAATTAACACACACCATTTCAACACAACTATCAGTTATGTATTTCAATCTAAATTGATAACACCTTTTGTCTTCAAATATCAGAATACTTTGACAAATTTATTTGCTTTTTCACTACTTAGACAAAACCAGTTCAAAAGTATACATTTAGTTGTTTAATTGTAATTCTGAAACAGAATAGGTAAATCCTGAAAATTCATTGCTGATGTTATTTTTTTTTATTTATTTATTTTTTTGTTGTTAATTTAATAAAGAACAATAAGAATTATAAAGAACATTGATGAAAATTGGATCAATAATTGTTATCAATGTCTTAATTATTAATGAAATTATCAGTATTTAATAATGCAGCATGATTTACTCTAAGATTACAAAGAATAAAAAGAAATTGTTGAAAAAAGCTGATAATACCCTGAAAAAATCCAATAGGTTAGGTTTTTTACAACTCCGCCTAAAAGAAGTTTAAAAAGCAGAAGGAAATGCCATGTCCATTTGAATAAATGTGCATTTTGTTGTTTGTCGATTTTCGTAAACAAGCATTTATAGACACGTTTATTTACATGAACATCCATATTAGGGTTTGTCTATTTTCATAAGCATGAATTTTGAACTTTATCCATTTTCATTAAGACATATTTAGAGCCGTGTTCAGATTTAAAGACTCACTTAATATTCATGCAGACTTAAATACTCACTGTTTCTAAATATACAGACTATAATTTTTTTTTTTTTTATAAATTTAGTATGAAAATTAAAAGATTACCTTCACTTTTCTCCACGGATATTGATTTATCAACACAGAATCATTGAACAATCACAGAAGCATGTTGACATATTTAAAAAATTCTAGTCTTTAAAAAAATCCTTAGCTATTTTAATTTCAAATTATTTATTTTAATGTTTCTTTTTTCAGTTCAATATGGATGACGTATTTAAAGATGAAAGATTTTCTCATATTCTTACTGATCCATCCTTTCGACGTATTCCAAAAAAGGTACGAAAAATTCAGATTGACAACCGCTTTAAAACATTGTTAAAAAATAAACGATTCACAGAAAAATGCAGCATTGATGAACATGGCTGTGCTCTAAAATTAGATGCAACAGAAAATTTAAGAAGCCTTTATAATATGGATGAAGAGTCATCTGATAGTGAAGACATGCCTGATAATGAAAAAATTGATAAAGCAAAGAAGCATAAGAAAAAAGAAAAAAATAAGATGAAAGTAGGAAAACTTGTTGAAAAAAATGAAAGTTTAGATAATAATTTTAGGAATATTGATAATGAAACCAATGATCAAAATAAAATATCTAAGAAGAAAAAAGTTAAAAATCAAAAAACAAACAAAAATTTAATGAGTGAAAGTAATAAATTTTCTTTGGTTGAATGTAAATCTGAAAACGAACTATCCACAAGTAATGCTATTAAAGAATTCCATGAAGATAGTACTGTTAGTAAAAGTAAATGCCCTAATGTTATCAGTAACAAAAGGCCACAAGAAAGTGTACAGGCTAAATCTCGTGAATTAGACTTTCAATTCGAACAAGAAACTAGTTCAGAAGAGGAATGTTCTGAAGAAGAAGAAATCGATAAGGATAGTGTTAAACAATATGGTTAGTAATTTTAATAAATGTTTATTCTTTTTCATATTATTTTGTTTCTGTGGGGAAAAAATCTATTACCACAGTACTTATATTAGTATATTGATACTTATTACCACATTTAGTTCAGCATCAATAATAATTTGATGATTTTTTTACGACCTGTGGAAATAGAATATTTCTCTTTTCTTCTAAATGTTTAACATTGTAATGTTTCTGTCTTATTTATCTTATGAATTTTATATTTTATAATTTGTTGCTATTATTATTTATATTTATTATTTCTATAAATGAGGATATTAAGAGCAGCATTTTCATTTTTTACTTCATTTAAAAAATGTTTATAATGCACATCTTACGGCAGTGTTCCCCAACCTTTTTGTCAATGTTTGATAATTTTACCGCAGCCCGCTGGGGGGCGACTTGATTGTTTATATTTTAGATTATTTTGATTTATTAATTTTAATTTAAATGTATTTAAACATGCCTTCAAAATAAAATACAATATAAAGTAATTTAGCATTTTAACTTACTAGAATGTTAAATCAATGAAAACCCTGAACTTGTTTCTTCGCGATGAGACGGTTCAATCTGGGGGTAATCGGGAACAATGATATGTTACAAAAAATTCTAAAAAATTATATCACTACCTTCGGGAGCCCCCTTTTTTAAATAAATAAAATTTTAATGGAACACAGATATTTCTAATTTGGGGTATAAACCTAGAAATTTAAATTCAGTTTCAATAAAATGGGTGGCCCGGTACCATTTGATCCACAGACCAGGGTTGAGGAACACCTTAGGGCAGGGATGGCAAGCCAAAGGCACACGAGCCATTTATGGCACGCGACGCACTACTCTGGGCACGCTACCAATCACAAAATTCACTATGAAGCATATTAACAATTAAATTAAAATTCATAAAAACATACAAAAAAAATAAGCAATTAACAAAAAAATTGACAATTAATGCCAAAAAAACAATTAATAACGATAAAAAAAACAAGCTAATAATGAATAACCAGTAAAAAAAAATTAACAGTTCTGCTTAAACTAACATCTCACAACCTAATATATAAGTTATTTATCATCTAATCTGCAACAACAGTCACTCTGTTGTTACTTTAAGTTGAATTACGCATATAAATGAGACATTGCAAAATGTTTTTTTGTTTTTTTTCATAGTAAATGAAGAGTTTTGAGTTGATAGTATTTAGCGTTATTATTTTCCCAATGATCACGAAGTTAAAAATATTTGACGGCACATCTATGACCTCATTAAACAATTTTTTGAAAAAATGGCACGTTGGTGCATAATGTTTCCCCACCCCTGCCTTTGGGCATTGCTTAGAACAAATTTAATGTTATTATAATAAGAATTTATGACACAAATATTTCTATTATGCAAAATAGAGCAATTATGTTTTAATATTTTTATTTTTTGAAGACTCTGATAATGCTGACTCTTCTGAAGAAGATTCTGATGAAGATTCCGAAAGTGATGATTCTGAGAGTAAAGAAAGTATGGCTATTTTATTTTATTTTATTTATTTTGGCAATGATTATTTATTTAGTTGGCATACTGAAGTTTATACTTATTTTCAAAATCTCTTTACAAAATATTTGATTGCATTGCAGTCTATGTAAATATTTGTTGTTGCAGATTGCTTTATCATATGTGTAATATCTAAAGTGACCAGAGATTCTGCTGTTTTGTCTCAATATCTTGCTTTTCATAAGTCCCAATCTTTGGTTAAAATTCGGCCAAATAAGAACGATTTCACAAAACTTTTCAACATTTGGGAGCATTGTCTCTTCATCTTCAACTTATATACACACGTAAATATTATGTTATCATGATTTGTAAATAAGAATTAGGTGACTCTATAATTTCAAATATGATTAAGGAAACTTTTACATGTGTGTATGAGCAGGTGCAATAAGAATGCTAACAAATACAGTGTCAAAAATGCAATAATGTCATGAATGTAATATGTATTTATCATTTACCAAACTATTTTTAATAACTCAATCTAACTAAATTGTAGTGAGTAGAGATTCCAAAAACTTCTTCATTCTCACGGTACTGTACAAGTGTTATGAGACTAAAAATATCCTGCAATTAAAAATTCTATGAAGTCCATTGATTTTTTTTCCCTTTTCTGCTGTTTCGTATTATATTGTATTTACTAAACTAAATGTCAGAAATCTGAATAGTCTCATTAGAAGATAGTAGTTCCTTTGTTTGAATTAATAGACCATAAGATTTCATTGTTTGATCTCTTTCGTCACAATCTCTTGAAAGTATGAACAAAATCCATTGTTAATATTACAGTTCCGCAATTTGTCTTTTAATTACTTTGGTGTCAAGGACTTGCGAAAATTAGTTTCATCGTGTAATATATGAGAAATTGATACTTTCAATACTGTTGACCTTTTTATGCAGTTGCTGTTTCTCTTGAATGATGACAAATATGTGAAAAGTTGACAAACATATTGAGAGTATGAGCAAACCTAATATTTAAATAATTTTTCTTTTTATGTTAAAAGTATATTTTTTGGCTTACTTTTTCCCTGAACAATGGGAAATGTTTTGCTGAGTATAGTTTGAAAATTACTGGTTTGTTAAGATCATTTAAAAACAAGTACAAAGATTTCATGAAGTTTGTGTACAAAAAGAAAGTTGGTGTCTGAGTTTAAAGTTACACCGAATGTGAAATCTGTATTTCTTTTGTTTGATGCTACCTCTAAATTGAAAATCAATTATAGGTGATGTATTTGATCATCAGTGGGAAGAACAACATGAAAGAGCTCCAGATACAGATGAAATAACTAGAAGGCTTGCTGTGTGTCATATGGATTGGGACAGAATTAGAGCAGTTGATTTATATGCAGTGTTTAATTCATTCAAACCACCTGATACATCAATTGTTTCTGTTAAAGTAAGTTTACTTTTTATCACTCATTCCTGCCTTTTGAAAAATCAAACATTTTCAAATGAAAAATTATTAAAAATATTGCTTTAAAAATCTAAAAAATATATATTTAAATAATATACTATCTAGCTGAAAGACTGAGACTTCCAATATCTGGAAAACACTATTAAAGAGGTATTTTTTATGAGGAAAAAAATTTACTAAATCAATTTTAAACTTGTACATTTGAGGCAAGAAGCAAATGAGTCATTCTCCTCTAATCTGAGTAGAACAGAAAGTGCAGAAAGAAAGAGACTTTCATTTACACCATCCTATGTGTGTGTAACAAGAAAAAATTTCAGTATTTCTTACTTAAACATGAAGCTCTGGAAATGGCCTAATTTTTCCTAATTTATGTGAAGTACTCACTTATGTATTAAATATTTTTTGTGTGTCAAATTAATGCCATATCTTTTTTAAAAAAGTAAGGTTTTAAGAACTATGTGAAAATCTGTAGAACAATTACTATTTAAAAGGTGATTGACAAAACCACATGGGTTTATTACAAAATATTTGTGAATTCAGTGCCCTTAAAGTCAGTTACTGAAATTCATGGCTCATATTTAACAAATTAATGTTTTAAGACTAATTAATATTTTAACACTGTACAAAAAATATCAGAATTTTCAGGACCATATAAAATTATAAGGGCTTTAAAAATGATATATATATCTGCTGCAATAACTGCAAAATAACAAAGAGAATATATGACTTGATGACGGAATTGAGAGCACCTAATAATGAATGCGGAATTCAAAACTGGCATGTTGTAATATTTTCTAATTCTTCTGGGTTTCTAAACACTGTGTAGAAATGAGATATGCAGGAATTTTTCAAGGGCTTGTCTAAACTGGCTAGCTTTATGCTTTTTTTTTTTTTTTTTGCACAAACTATTTCAATCTTTTAAATATACAATTGATAATAGATTTTTATAAATGTATGATTAACAATACTATTAATAAATTGATCATACAATAACAAAAAATTATTAGTATCCAAAAGTAAAAGAATAAGTTAAAAGTTATTTTTCATTTTTGGAGTAAAACAAACAATTTTTAAAAATATATATAGGTGCAATATGTTTTTTTTTTTTTACCTTATCTGAACTTTCCTTATGTGTACAGGTAAAGTTAAGAGTTTATCTCTTAAAAATAAATCTTTAAATTTTTATGGATGTTACTTTTTATGTACAAAAGAATTTTACATAGTTTCTTTTTCCCGCAATTCTATGTCTGTATAACATTTAAGTCAATATATATTCTAGATTTATCCATCTGAATATGGATTACAAAGAATAGAAGAAGAGAAATTGAATGGTCCTCGTGAATTGGTTGAAAAAACTCTAGCCGATGATGAGGAAGAAGTTGAGGATAAAAAAGGAAGCAAGTATCACCGTGAAAAATTGAGGCAATATCAAATGAATAGATTGAAGTACTATTATGCCATAGTTGAGTGTGATACCCCTGAAACAGCTAATATTTTGTATGAACAGTTGAATGGTATGGAGTATGAAAGCAGCTCTGTGCGTTTTGACTTGCGATTTGTACCTGATGACCTAACATTAGATCAAGTGAGTATTTTTCTAGTTCATAGAATTTAATGTGTAATTTAATTTTGACAGAAAGTGGTCAAATCATATTAAAAAAATATCAAATCTTTTTTTTTTCGCACACTGAAGAAAGAATGCATTTTTTCTCCAGTTGGGAAGGTCAGAAAAACTTTCTGTGTACCTCTAGTTCTCTAGTATAATTTTTATATTAACTCTACATTTAAGCAATGTGTACCAATTTTAAAGAACATAGAATTCTAAGCATTTTTAATGTTTTTTATTAGTGAAAAACTTGATTAGTGAAAAACTGTGTACATAAGTTGTTGATGCAAATTCTATTTTTGAAACTCATGCAAAAACCTATTTTTTTCAGACAGAAAAAATTATAGTTTTATCCACTCATGACAAAAACTTGACGTAGTATGTATAACAGGGTGACCCTTGATATATATTTGTAATGTATCTGCAATTACCGGGAGTTATTTTTGATTTTTTATCAAGGGTCCTGTTTTTGTGATTTTGAGAGAAAAAGCAGTGGTTTAACCAGAAGGATCTATATTTGTGAAGAAAATCTGTTGGTTGAAGTTTGGTAAGAGTAAGAAGAATTATTTGGTCGAAGGAATCCTTCAACAAATTTATTGATGAAGTTTGTTATCATTGAAGGAAATAAATATTCAAATTGGATTATCTGAAGTAATGAATATTAACCACTGCTATACAGGCCATAAATCAATTTAAAAAAGAGTCCAGTTTAAATGATTGGTAATTCGAAAGATATTTTCATGTTTGCTATTGAGAAACTCCTTAGCAATGATACTTAACAAAAAATGAATTTTTTTAAACAATATATATTTTTTGCTGCAAGGAACTAGGCCCCACAGAACACCTCCAAACATTATGAAATTGAAAATGCAAGAGACAGGTATATATTAGAATACATGTACTTACTATTAATAGCTTCAATTTCTTGTCAAGGGTTCTTTTCTTAACCTTATGCATTACAAAGCATTGGTAGAGAAGAAAATTAGAAAATAATGAATGAAAGACATCACCTACCCTGTTTTCCAAAAGAAAACTTTTGTGGAGGATCCTTTTTTTCTTCAAGTTAAAATGTTCTGTCAATAGTCTATTTTTACATTAAAATTTCTTATGACAGATTTTTTTTTACAATGAAATAATTTGTGAAGATTCGATTTTGATCATAAAATAACTCTTCTAAGGTGTATTAGTGTACTCAAATTTCTCTTAAAATGTGCCCTGTATAATAGGCTATGTTATTTTAGGAGCCGACTAGCATCGCAGAGAACCCTGATTTAACTGAATATAAGCCAAAATTATTTGTTACCACTGCACTCCAACAAGTTAAAGTTGGGCTAACATGGGATGAAACAGATCCTCAACGTAGAGAAATCCTTCAAAAAGCATTCACGGAGCCTGACAATATTGAAAAAGACATTAAAGAATATTTAGCTTCATCTTCTGAGGACAGCCAAGGTATTGTACTATTAAAGTTTTGTGCTTTATGACATATTTATGCTAACTTCTTCAGCTTTAATAGGCTGACTGACTTCTTCAACTATACTTTACTATTTCATTTTTTTTTAAATATATTTGTTTTACCGGGATTTTGACCACAATATGAAATGGATTCAACTATATGTAATACTTGTTAATTATACCTTGTAGTTTTTAAGTGATGACAGAATTGTACTTACCTAATTGCTATTTCACTACCACTTTAAATATTGCAGTGTGCAAGAAATTCTAGGTTAGAGACCATGTCAATAGCTATAGAATTTCCATAGTTTCAGAGAATATTTTTCCTAGTGGTAGCTAAGATGTTGTACTAGTGTTTTATTAAATTAGATTTAAAAGGATTTTGGTCACTGTTTTCCATCCATTTCATGTTGTACTCACTGGTTTATACCAATCACTTAAACAGTTATATAAAAGATCAGATATACAAATGCTCATATTTAGAAACTGTGACAAATATTGAAAAAAATTCTATTTGCTTCAACATTTTTGCATTTTTTCACTACCATTAAAAAAATATTTCAACAAAACCTCAAATGCTGGAGAATATGCTAGATTATATTTCTGTACCTTAATATCTTCATTGTAAATGAGTTCCGGAAACGATGTTTAAAATTTTGTTGTAATATTTATGTATTCCTAAATACATTGTCTGACCTGACCATAATATAGACAAGGCATAATTCATCAACAGAAGACGAAAATTTGAAATTAAAAATGTTATTCAAATGAAGCTTTAAAAAAAAATTGAGAAACATAATATTACAGGCATAGCTTATCCCTAATGGTATACATTCATTATTAATAGTGTAGTATTTACCAAGTTTAAATAGTACTTGGCTGCTCCACTTTCTATTTCTTTAACTAGATTGGAAAGAAAAACAATAATTGAGTACAGATATGTTAGTTGCATTTAAAAAAAAAAATTACTTTCACTGTCAAGAATATAAATAAATGCTATAATTTCTAAAACATTTACTACCATGCCTTCTATTTAATGTGATCTCATCAATATCTGAATGTTTTATTTTCATTTTCCTAAATCTACGCATTTAAAATGAGATAGTTTTCCTTTCTTTTTTTTCTGCAGTATTCTGAGAATACTATACAATAAGAGTAACTAGGGAAAAGTTAAGTAGATTAGTATTATTTAATTTTCAATTAGAAAACTTAATTAAGGTTAGTGAAACTATTACAATTAATATTTAATGTTAATAAGATAACATCTAGAAAAACATAAAATTTTTCTAGTTATTAATTTTGTAATACTAGGAAAAGTAAAAGAAGAAAAAACGCTCTAGTTTTGTTTAAGCGCTTTTCGTTTTCTCATTCACAGGAAGTATACTCACATACACCTAACTTCTCCATATTTTAACCAATCCTAATTCTCTTTTATCAAAATTATGAAGAATAATTAGTTATTTAAATGATGGTTGAAAGACTGGTATTGTTACCTGAAAAGGGTGATTTCCTAGAAATCAGATATAAAACATTGCCTCTAAGTATTTTTGACCCTGCCACTGAAGGCATTATTGCAATTTAAGTAAATTTCAATGTATGACTAGGTAGTTATGATTTTAATATCTAGCAGTCATAAATTTCATTACCATTGAATTTTTAATGCTATGATTTCATTCTTAGACATTTAGTGATAAGTGGCTGAGTCTACTAATCAATGAGCTTACATGCCGATAGACTCTGCTTAAGATTTTTTTTTTTAAATACTTATTTATCTTTGTTCATATAATTTATTTGGATGATAGAAGAATGGAATTTCAGTGAACTGTTGGATGTAGATTAAAATATATTACTTTTACATGAAAGAACAAAAGAAAAAATCTGACCAAGCATTGCTTTATTTTTCTTAATTAATCTAAGCAATCAAAATTTCTATTGTCGCCTCTTGATTACAATTAATAAATATATTACTTTGACAATGTGAATTTAATATTTTTAACAAGTGAGTTTGACAATAATTTTGAGCTACAGTATCTATACTAAAGTATATAAATAGTGGAGAGCCTAATTAGCTTTTTTTTTTTTTTTTAAATTAGTAATTTTGAGGATTTATAAGTTTTATATTATTTATAATTTTTCTGTTATTTATGTAGTAACTCCCTTATTAATTTTTTCCTTACCATTAACAGAAGAAATTAGTGATACCGAAGAGGATAATCGAAAACTATCAACCAAGGAAAGATTACAAAAATACAAATCATTGCTTGAATCTATAAGTGAACAAGAAAAAGAAAAGAGTGGAGAAAAATATGAAATGGAAATTACTTGGGAACCTGGTAATCCTCTTTTTGCATCTCTTTTCTTTTGTTAACATATAGTTTTCTTGTTTATTATTTTTTCCCTGACAAAAACAAGACTGTAATGCATCTTTACATATGGAATAATTTTGGGCATTAAAAGCAGTTTAACTTCTTTTAATCCAATCAAAAATGCTGGCTTGGAAGGAAATTCCACTTTCTAGTATTATTAGTACTTCATTCGCTAGTATTGACTATTATCTGTATGTGAATGTTTTTCTAAGCTAGTATTAAAAATTATATATTGTGCCTAAAAAAATACTTTTTAATTAATGATTCTCTTAATTTTACTTACTAAGATGCAATTTTTATTAAAAACAATTACTTTAAAAACATATAGACTTCTGAAGTCTTCCCTGAGAAAATTATTTAACCCATATTTTTTTTAAATTGTAGCTACCGCTCTTATTCTAGAGTTAAAAATCTGAATCCATCGAAAGCATTTCATTATTTAGAGATAATAAGCTTTTGTCAGATATCATATACTTCTACCATTGAAATTGCCTCTTAGTTCAAGAAAATTATTGCAATAAATTTTAAGTTATTCACTCATTCCATTTTATTTTATTTTGTGCACTGCACCTGATTAAAGAAAATTACAAAACTTTATTGACATTGTGTTTAAATTAGGTATGAAAGAAAAAACTGAAAGTTTGGTGAAAGAAAAGCTTGAAGAAGAAAAATCTTACACTCCATTTGAAGAGTTACAAAAGAAAAAGAAAGAAAAGCAAAAATTAAAGAAAAAAGTTAAGAAAGCAAGAACTCATGAGGTATATAATTTTTTTTTTTTTTTTTTTACCTTTGCATTTTTTGTAACTTTATTTTTCAATTTGTAATTCTTTATTTTACTGTTACTTTGTTAAATATGTTTCAGTTTTTATTAGACAGTTATCTGTTTAATTATAGTTTTATTGATATTATAATATAGAATATATTATTACTTTTACATATTACATTAAATTGTCTTTTAAAAATTTAAGCCATAATATAAATTGAGCAACAAATTATAATGCTCAAAATAGCTTTGAGGACTTTATTTGCCTATTGGATCGTAAGTTTTATTACATTAGCTGTATATAGAAAATTAATTAAATAAAAAACAGCTCATAATTAATTTTATTGTTTAGTAGTTCATACATAGTTCTAAGTACATAGTAGCTCATAGTTCTAACAAAAAAAAATTAAGTAGAAAATGTTTGAGCAGTGTCACGCCGTTAGATTAAGATGATCCACTTTGTGATGAGGACACACTAGGTTTAATTATGAAATCCATAGCATTAAGTTAAGAAATAAAACTTGCACATTAGCTGATTTATTAAGCAGTATGCTGTAGTATGTATTGGTATTCTAGATCAAAATAAAACAAACCAGTACCTATTCATTTTTCTTTTCATAATTTCAGCTTTTTTTATTACAAACTAATTATTGGCGTCCAAACAAATTCTCTAATTTGCATTTCAAATGAACTAAAAATGAATGTTGGGATTAATAATGCCTAAGAAATAATTTTTAGTTCAATTATTATTTTCAATCAAAAGTTTACAATGAAAGTTATTGGGAAAAATAAAAACCATCATGCCAATTTCTAAAATCCACAAAATTTACATTTTATCAAAAAATAAACAAATATATGCTTTAAAAATTTTGTTTTTTATATCGTAAAACAGTTTTATTCCCTATTGATTTGAAATGATAAATAAATATTGACAACTGTTTTTTGCTTTCGCTTATCTTGATGTATACAAGTTAAGTAATTTTGTGAAGACCTAAAAATAAAGTATTTAAGTGATGTTATCGATCGCGCAATTGAGTATTTTGCAACCATTTATAATCAACCATTAGTACCAAAAATTAAAAAAAAAACTATATATATCAAGCTGATACTTAACTATTCAGTTTTTTGTCTCTCCTGTGAATTAATTTAGTTGGAAATGACCACTTTTGGAACTCATTGATTTTCATCAATTTTTTTATTTATTGTCAATTTTTGATTTATTAATTTATTATCAATTTTTGATTGATTAATTTATTATCAGTTGATTTATTATACATTTTTTTGTTTCAAATTTAAACTGGTTTATTTTTAAAATTTTGGTTGCCTTTCTCGGTGGAGAAGAAAAGGCATTTAGCTTCTAACTTTGAAATTATATGAGAAACAAAATATTTTCTAACGTAAAATTTAAATTTTTTTAGGATGAGGAGTCAGAGGATGAACTATCCGACATGAGCAATTCTGATGCCTCTACTGGTAAGCCATAATTAATAATTGTAAAATTTAGTGTTTATCATTCATAAAACTTGCAATGATATTTAATGGCTGATTTAATAATATTTGATCATGAAATTGTTGATAATATTTCACATTGATTCTACTTTGTGCAGCTTTGTATTAATCAGTTCAGATTCTATTCAGCTGTTGTAGCACTAACGTTATATTTTCTTATTATTTAAAACTATTTTGTGTTATTGTGCATGATTGTAATAATTTTACTTGTGAAATTGATAAAGAAGGAAGATTCAGTCATCTAGTATGGATTAATGAAATACGAATTCACACACAAAACAAATATTGCACCCTGATACAGTAGAAAACCAATTATCCGGAATGCTCGGGACCATCACTGTCCCGCATGTGTGAATTTCCCGGTTTTCTGGATTGGCCAAGCAGTAACGTTAATTGATGTTTTATCGAACTCAAATTACAATGAAAAAGAGTAACACATTTTAAAATAAGAAGAAAAAAAACTAAAAGCTCTCTTAATTTTAATTAGAAGTTATAGAAAAATAACATACAAAAGAATAAAGACATTTACAAGTTTAGACAAGAAATATAAATATTGAAACCCCGTACAAGACAGGATATTATAAGATCAACTGAATTAAAAGAGAAATTTAATCTTAATATTTATGAATAAAAAGAACTAATTTATTGAGTACGAAATTTATTGTGAACTGTGGAAAGGGGAAAAAAAAAACAAATCAGAATTCATCCAGTTGAAAAATATTGTTTCGTTAATTAATGGATAAATATAACAGGCAATTCAAAAGCGTTTTGTTCATAATAAATAATTGTAGTAATAATAATGTATCATCCGAAATTATAAAATAATTTATCATAATAAATCAAGAATAACAAAACTGAGAAACTAAAGTGGATATTAAAAAAATTTCTAACATGCCAATACTCTAGGGGCATAAGTTTCATATTCCTTAACTTGAACATACAATTGGCAACACTCAGAAACGATTAAGAATAATAGAAGAATCTTGAAGATGCGCTTAATGATGGCTGGTTTGGAAAAAAATTGGATTATTTTAATCCCCTATACCCCAATTATGATACTACGAAAATCGAAGACTGAAATCCAACAATTTTATTGAGTGTCGAATTCTCTGATAATGGTAATTTTCGATTTGAGGGTAAAATTGCATTTCACCCTGACAATTCTCCAGGGACTTAAGAATCCGTCATTTTACTTTTAGGCACTTTAATTGTTCCATTTCTGATTTTTCACTCCAGATTCTAAATTTAGCAGGATCCGAGTTTAGAAAAAAAATTCATACTTATTTATTATTTTATTTCTTTTTTATTTTTAAAATGTCATGTTCTTATAAGGAGTGACAGTACTTAGTCATGTTTTGAATTAAAGGTTACCATTTTTTATTTTTATTGAATCCTCTTTTTTAAATAATGTGTTTAAAAAAACTTCTTAAATTTGGACTCTAACAAATGTTTTAGAAGTATCTTTGTAATCATTCAATTTTACTGATAATAATAAAATTTTATTCATATTTATTTAGACGAATTATTAATTTTAGTAGTAGTAATCCGGACAAAGCTTGATGGGTTTTGTATCCCCCTCCCTACTAACACAATCAATTATGTTTATAATTTACAAAATTCTTCTGATTATTTTTTAAATTATTAAATTCAGCTTAACTGTATTCCTATTTTATAATTGAGTAAAAAAAATAGCCATATTTTAATCATTTACGTATTTCCATTTCACTTTTTTTTACTTAAAGTGAAGGGATATATTTGTAATTAGTATACCTGTAAAGTGAAGGGACATATTTTTCTTTTTATTTCCCTTTCTTTTGTTCATGGATATGCACATGCAATGCATTACCCTCACCTCCTCCTAAATCAAAGAGAAAATGAAATCAGCGTGCCACTCCTTTATGTTTGATTGAAAGCAGCTTATCAGAAAGACAACGCTTCTTTCCTACACACAGGAGAAAATAAAACATTTGTTCCTTTCCTGCTCCTTCTTCATCTAAATATCTTCAAGGTCACGGAAGAAATGTTGAAGTTTTCTCTGGACAAACAGGGAGATAAATACTCCCTTCCCCACATTCTCCTCTACTCAACTTCAAGGATGTGTCAAATTTCCACTTTTCTCCTTAATCATTCTAGTTCAAAATGGCGGGAAAACCGAGCAAAATTTTTCCCGGTTGAATGATAATGAAGTATTGAAGATGAATGATTACAAAATTTTTCTTTCAATAATTTTAAAAGTATAATTAAATTATTTTTCTTATCTATTGAAAATATCTGTATAGTATATTTCTTGCTTTTTTATTTAAAAATATTGATGTTATGGAAATTTTAAAATGTATAATTTTGATTTTTTGTGTTTTTTATACTTAATTTAATACCTTTTATTTCATGTAGGCAATTATGGAGTATGCTTCTTACCAGTCAGTTCTCAAAACAACATATTTTTTTAATACATAGTTTTTTTGTGTTTAAAGAAATGCTTCAAAAACAATATTTTGAGTCACTCTAAACTAACAATCAGTTGATGCCCTCAATTTTTTATTTATTAATACATATTTTTATGAAGAAAAAAAATTAGATGCTTTCAAAATAATAATTTTTACTGAGCCTTAACTCTGTTTCACAAATTTGTCAAGTTTAAATTTAAAGTAAGAAAAATAAAAAAATTCCCGAAAGATATATTTATAGTGTATGCATATTTTTACTTTATTTCAGAAATGAAAATCAGCAACACCAAGAAGAAAAGCTCTAAAACAAACGTAAGCTCTGTTTTGTTTAATTTTTTAATTGAATACAGGCATAAAACTATTTCTCAGATCTGCAGTTTTCTGCTCTTTTCAATAAGTTTTTATTCTTTTTAAAAACAATCACTCTGTCAAAAAATTTCTATTATGCCATTTTTTCAAATCTATAAAACCAATCAGAATTAAATTTTAATTCGTAGATTGATTAATGTTAAGAGGAATTTTTTATTTATTCATTTGTTCTGTTAAGTTATATGTTCCATCAATCAAACTGACTTCCTGTGGTTGATTTTGTCATATTTATTGTGACTAACCAGTACTTGATAGTCTATTAGTAATAAATCTATCTTCATGTTAAAAATTTAAAACTTGCTGTTAATCATTATGTATTATTAAATTTGATAAGATTCACCCCAATTACATAATTTTCAATAGAAATAAATATTAATGTTAGATGTGCTGACATTTTGAAAATTACAAAAGATGTTTTTACAGATGAGCATTTTTTCTTTCATATTGTTTAATTTTTAATCATTTCTTAATCATTCTTATTTCTTAATCAATCAATCATTTTAATCATTATTCATTTGTTCGAAATTACATAAATATTTTTCCCCATTTCTTTTAAATTGGAACCTTAAAATATATTTGCAATTTTAAGCATTGTACTGAGATGTGATATTAAAAATAATAAAATATGCATAATAATCTAAAGGTGTATGACTTAGATTTGCTGTAATTTTTTTCTCAAAAGGCTCTTAACAGGACTTGTATAAGTCAATGAAAATGTGAAACTGGCAAAAGATATCTAATTTAATTATTTAAAAAAAATCACAAATGTTTTTTTGGCCACATTTTTTCAAAACTTTTATATAAAAACCCCAAAACAAACTTGAAAAGTTGCTTATTTTACTTGGAAATTGCACAACTTAGGAAATTCAATGTGGAATTGAAACTTGGTATTTTGGTAGTGTACTATCACCCCTTAAAATAATTAAGTGCACTAGCCAGCCAATTCTGAGGATAACTCACTAATGATTAAATGGATAATAATTATTTTCGAATGGATAATAATTACATATTACCTAACTTCAACAACTAATTCTTCTTACCTTCATTAACTTCACAAATTTCTCCACAATTACCGGTTTTAAAACCTTTTAATAACATCTGACCAATTTAAGGTTTGTAAACCCAGGATTTTCATGAAGGGAAGAAAAAAAACTAAATTTTGCCTGGGAATAATTAAGTGTTTTTCGTGATAATTTCCCCAAGAGATGAGTGTTTGTTTTTTTTTTTTGTTTTTTATGTATATATATATGAATATATTCTGCATACATACTTATATATACTAATAATAAAAGTATGATGCTGTACAAACTGTAAAAATATTGATCTATTATCAACAATGGGATTAATAAAAGAAATGATGTAAGAGTAACTATTTCAGCCATATTTTTGTCTTTTAAATGTATAATGAATTGCATAATGATGAAGTTACTGAAATGATGCTGTGTGAAATGTAAAGCATAATATGATAAGTTTTAGATTATAAATCAAAACGTAATTTGCTTTAAAGTTAATGAATCAAATTTTTAGTACCATTACATACATTCATGAAATGAAATGCATATATCTTTTGCAATATGTGATATTTTCATTTTTCAATGTATGAGTTCTTTATATGTCTTAGAATGTGCAAAAAGTTAACAACTTTTATCTTTATTCTTTTCGCTTTTGAAATGAAGGAGGGGATTGGATTATAAGCATTTGTTGTCTATTCCTAGGTATATGAACTTTCAGAAATATTTATTAAATTTAGTTAATAATTATTTAGAAATGAACATATTGTAAACAACCAATATCTACAATATGTATTCAAATTCCATTGATAAATAATTTATTTATTTGTTCATGATATTATTTTAATTTTTCTTTTGTAATAGGCAAAGTTTTTACCTAATAAAATATCAGCAAAGATTAAATAAAACAAATTTTCGGTTCACATTAAAATGTAAAATATAAGCCTGATATCTCAAGAGTATTACAGTTTCATTAAATCAAAATATCAGAAAGTCACTATTTTTTTCTTTTTATTGAAATATTTTAATGTACCGTAATGTGGAGCTACTTTGTGCAGGATTTTGCAGTTTTTGAACTTTGACATGTAAAAAAACCATGTTAATTCAAACTTTAGTAAAATCTATCGGTATTATATTTATAACTGGACTCGGGCGAGTGAATTTGATCAATATTGGCATTATTTGTATGTAATATTTACAAATAATAAGTCAAAACATACCTGGCACAAAGTAGCCCCCAAGTGGGGCTACTTTGTGCAGCGATAGGAATTCAGTTTAATAATCATGTTTTTAGTAAAATATTGATNAGTTCCTTACTAATAATTCAGTTAATTAACAAAATGCATTCAAATTGCTGAGGTTCGAAACAAAGAAAAAAATACGCATGACTAAATTATTAACAATTTAGTTTAAGTACAAAATATATCCCAATCAAAGCACAACAATGCAGCAAAGAAAAATAAACTAATTGTAATTTAATAATAATTCAGTTATTAGCAAAATATATCTAAATTTCAAAAATACCAAAGAAATAAAAAAAAACTTAAGTTCCAAATAATTATTCAGTTAAAATTGAAAATTTATCTAAATCACTGAAATACAAAAATGAAGGAAAGGTGAAAAAAGGATAAAAAAGTAATTATATTCTAATAAGTTATAAACGAAGTGCATCCAAATCGTCGAAATGTGGGGAAAAAAGACGACTGAAAAACTAAATCGGATAATAAAAATAATACAATAGATAAAGGAAAAGTTTTAAACTATTGATTAAGTTAAAACGAAAAAATAAAAATTCCAAATCGCAAAAAAGGCGTGGGAAGGAAACGTAGTTCTTAACAATTGAGCCAACCAAAATAAAATATCCAAATAACTAAAATATAAAAATAAAGAAAAAAAATTTTAATTTAATAATAATTTAGTTAAAAAGCAAAATACATCCAAATCGCAAAATACCGATGAAATAAAAAAAACAACAACGTAGTTTTAAACAATTTAGTGAAAATTGAAAATATATCCAAATTGCTAAAATACGAAAAACGAAGGAAGGAAATGGAAAATTTATGATCTAGTATTTTAGTTATAAAGCAAAATAAATCTAAATCGTTGAAATACGGAAATAGAAACTTTTTTAAACTACTTTATTATTTCTTTGCCATGTCGAATGTAGTTCTTAATTACAAAAAAGCATGGTTTTCTCTGCGATATTTATCAGAAACTAGTTATTTTATCATGGAGTATGTTAAGTTTTTGGAAATTCTTTTGAACTTTATTGATTTTATATTTATAAATTAAGAACTTTAAACGATAGAAGAAAAATTTTTTTATTACTGCACAGATCCTAATTAATTTTTTTGAAAAGTGAATAAAAATATTTTTTTAATGCTTGTAAAGTACCTAAAAGGTGCTGATTTTTTGTTGAAAAATCTGGCTACACACGCTGGGTGTTAAATATTTGCATTTTTAATTTTATCTACATAATTAACATGCAATTTTATATTAAAATATTTACATTTAAAATTGAACGAATTTAACTGTTAATGATTAAAAGAATAAACTTACCGCTTCCAAATGGATTCTTCTTTTTGCATTTACGCGCAAAGTTTGCAGAACATGTAAACCATGCTATTTCTCTCTTCTTTTTCCAACCAGTCATACATTTTCTCCCATTTCTCTTGATACTTATCTGTCTTTGATTTCTTTTAGGGCTGAATAATATCCGTATTTGTTTCGTTTTGATCGTTTCTACCCTCATTTTCATTTGTCCGTTTCGGAGTAGAAGATGTTGCCTTAATAAGGTATTTGTCCATCTTATATTAATGCGCAAAAAATTTGAACGTCTTACATGAAGAAACCTTACCTACGGTAAACACGCGGTCCAGAGAAATCTGTTCTGAAAGGGGTTCCGTGGTTCCGAGGGATGGTGTTCTGTTGTTCTTAAAGGTTCAGAACAATACTTTTAAATAGGGAAGCTAGATAACGTCGCAGATGTTGAAAATAAAGAAAGATACAGGAAGAAAGAAGAAACGGATTTTATTCTAAATGACGTAATGCGAAACTTTTTTCAAAATGCGAGGAATTCGCGAATTTTGAAATTGATTTATAGAATGCGCGAATTTCTCGCGGTAGTCATTTTTTAATGCGAGAAAAGAAAAAAATATGCGAGATTCTCGCGCTGTAGTGAAAAGAGTGTATGTGTTTGTTTCTTTTTTTGTTTTTTTTTTTAATATATTCTGCATACATGCTTATATATACTAATAATAAAAGTATGATATTGTATAAACTGTAGAAATATTGCTCTATTATCAACAAAGGGATGACAATGATGTGAGAGTAACTATATCAGCCATATTTTTGTCTTTTAAATGTATAATGAATTGCATAATGATGAAGTTACTGAAATGATGCTTTGTGAAATGTAAAGCATACTATGTTATATGTTTAGTTTTAGTTTATAAATAAAAACATTATTTGTTTTAAAGTTAATGAATCAAATTTCTAGTAGCATTATATACATTCATGAAATGAAATGCACATATCTTTTGTAGTATGTGATATGTTCATTTTTCAATGTATGAGTTCTTTATATGTCTTAGAATGCTATGAACTTTTATCTTTNTTTTTTTTTTTTTTGCTTTCGCAATGAAGGGGGGGGAATTCTAAGCATTTGTTTTCTTTGTCATTAAGCATCTGTTGTCCATCCCTACTATATGAACTTTTAGAAATACTTTTTAAATTTAATTAATAATTATTTACGAATGAACATATCGTGAACAACCAATTTCTACAATATAAAAATAATTTCATTATTTTTTCATGATATTATTTTTATTTTGTAATTGGCAAAATTTTTACCTAGTAAAATATTAGCAAATATTAAATTTAAAAAAATTTCAGTTTATGTTAAAATTTAAAATATAAGCTTAACATCCCAAGTGTGTCATGACAGTTTCATTGAATCAAAATATCAGAAAGTCACAATTTTTTTCTTTTTATTGAAATATTTTAACGTTACAAAGTTTTTCTGCTTTTCGGTCTATTAGTAATTTCACAATTTGAACTGAATTTATCAAAAATTTGTCCAGTTGTCATAAGAGAAGCAATGAATGATTGAGTTATTTTGGCTTTCAACTGATATTTTAAATTATGGGTTTCTGCCAAATTATGGGTTCAATATTCTTAATTTTTTTTTTTATTTAAACATGATTTTTTTTTCAAAAAGTTTTAATAGATGAAAACAAGTACATAATCTATAATAGAAATCTAAAATAAAATAGGGATATTTTGATCTAATTTTTAAGACACTCATTACAGACCATTTTTTTTTTAAATGAAAAATTTATTTCTGCATTCCTTGTCTAAAAATATCATATTCATTTTTAAATATTAAATGTATATATTATATATAATTTAAGATTGTATTTTAATAAATCTTGAGGGGTTTACCAAGTATGCAAATTCTCAGGGCCTAATATTTCTCCAAAACACATTTGTTTTTTATAATAACTTTTTTAAAATATTTTTAGGAAGTTAAGTCTGTCTTTTGTTAAAACTTTCTCTTTAACGAAGAAAATAAATTATTTGATTTTGAAATATTCTTAAATAAATTAGCCTATTTCCTAAAATAATAAAAATCAAAGTAAATGTAAATAGTAGTGATATTTTATTATTATAATTTGTAAAAGGCACATTTTTAATTAAAAAAAAATTAAATTTTGTAGCCATTTTTTTATTTAATTAAACCAAAAATTTCCTTAGGGGTGCTTGAATTTTTCCCGTACCAAGTTAGTGCGATCAGACATACTTGTTTTTCATATAATTTTGTATAAAAAGTTACCAAGTTTTTATAATAAAATTATTAACTGGAAGTTGATTATTTCAAAGAACAATTTGGTTTGATAATCACAAAAAGAAGTTTAGTAATGATGAAATGCGAGGGGGGAAATGGGTATTTTCAAGTGGGCCCAATCTGAAAAAACGTACCCAAGTTTTTCTGGACTGGCCTAATCTTGGCGAATCCTGACCAATATTCTCACTTGCTTAATTTTTTTCTTTCTAAACAAATTTTTTAGAGAGATTTATAAGAAATGCGAACAAAATTTTTTTAAGTTCTCCTTTTACATATACATCCAAATGTATGGTTTTACTCTGACTTGCTATTTAGTATGAAGATAAGTTGCCAGTTTTTATCATAGGAAAGTACCTTCCTATAAGTATGAAAAAGCTACTACTAATGTTTAGACTAGTTTAAAATATCCAACATAGACTCATAAGTTTAATAATTTTCACTATAAAAAGTTCAAGTTAAGTCAATATTAGTAATTTTTTAAATTAAGAGACATAAATATTTATTAAGTTTTAAACTTTTTTTTAGGACGAATTGTATCTAATATCAGATTCTAAGAAAGTAGATGTTGAAAATGACCAATCAACCAAGGGAAAGAAAAAGAAGAAAACCAAACAAGAAGCTAAGGATAATTTTAAGGTAAATTATTTAGCCATATTCTTTTTGAGAAATGACGAATAACATGTTTTTCAAAAAGAAAAAAAAAATTACTGTTGAGTAAGGTTCTTACACCATCCTTTACAAAAGTAGAAAATCCTCATTAATACCTTGAGCATATCATCAATATATGCTTCATTGGTTGCTCTACTTTGTCCAGCATGGGATAAATAAGTTCCTCAACTAATAAATTCAATAAAACAGTGTGGCTGCCACACTACAATGTTAAACACATAGAGATTTAAAAATCCATCTGTGCAAACTATTTATATTTACATTAATGCTCTGCACCTGTATTAAACATGTTAATGACATAATTAAAAGAATCACAGATTCCGGTATTAGTTTTCCTGTACAACTCATACAAACTCGCTCTTACCCATAACACTAATTCATGTTAAATCTATTAAATGTATTTATTATACTATATGTTTGACATAATTTGTCTTATATTCCTCTAGATGCTGTTTCAGCAATAATTCAATGTAAAAACCATGCAATTTACTGTGTATTAACTCTTTTAATTGAACTTCTTGAATCATGATAGTAATTATTTTTATTGCAATAACGAGTTTTAAAAACAGTTAAGCTAAATTAATATCTAATCTATTAATGAGTTAAACTTATTTAGTCGGTTGACAAGTTATAAAACATTCATAATAATTAAATATGCATTTTTCATTTACTTATCACCTGTACCTATATTTATTGTAATGATTACTTATGATTTTAGGTCAATGTAAATGATCCTAGATTTTCTGCAATATACACTTCACCATTATTCAACATAGATCCTTCTGATCCTCATTTCAAGAAAACTCCTGGAAATTTGGCTATAATTGCAGAAAAGCAAAGAAGATTAAAAAATAAAAAGGGTTCAGCAGAAGAAATAAAGAGTAATAAGAAGTTAAAATACAGTTGATCTTTGTACAGATACTTTCTAAATTATAGTGAAATATATAAATAATTTTTTATATTGCTAACATTATTTTCATAAATATATTTGTGAAACTAAAGTCTATATTTGTCTTATTTCTATGTTTAACCAGTGCTCCTCAATTTAGTCATTAATGATTGTTTTTAATATTCAATATGATTTCATAGTTTAGATAGAAATCATACAAGTGGCATAGTATATTTATTAATATTCAAATAAAATTTTGTGAGAATTTCAATAGAATTATCTTATTACGCTGTACTGTTGACATAAAAATAATTCTCAAATCTTGGGCACTAATGGATAATTAAAATTTTTTAGAAACATTTTTATTCATTCAAAATCCCTCAAAGGTTGCAGAAAACATTTTATTGCTTTTCTAAGAGTGCTAATTGGGTTATTTTTAAGAAAAAAACACTTTTGTTTTTTTATCTGAATCGGGGGCAAGTGATTTTACACGACCTGACGTCACTAGTGTCCATCTGTCGTTTGTTTACAATTGTTGTGCTGTAAAAGGGATTATGCTTTTGCTTTCGTATAAATTTTTGTAATTAAAACAAACTATTTTATATTGTAAATAACTATATGAGAACAAAGATTTTTATAATAAATTGTGCCTTGTTGTAGCTTAAAGAAATTGTGGGTTTGATATAACTATTTTTATAATGTTAAATTTCAATGGTACCCACTGGAACATTTGGTTATAGAGATTACAAAGATTAACAGAACCAACAGCCAGCATAGTCATTAAAGATGTGACAAGCACAAGTAAGTTTTTCAGTACAATCCATAATGTTGACAAAAATTACCTGGATCAAAGATTAGAAGACTGTTATTCCTAGGTAAAAATTTAGAGGTTTCCTTGTAGCAATGTTTCTCTGTATTTTTTTAAAAAACTAATTGAAACAAGTATAAGGCAAATGTTATAAGAAGTAACTTTAAAAAGGAAAACCTCCTAGTTTCAATAAATAAAATGGTGACTTTTTAAACTGCAATGAAACATAAATAATGTTTATCAAGTTGAATACTGACCTAAAACAAAAGATAACATTTCCAAACTAAAAAAAGGAAGAAAATTATTTCTTAGGAAATTATTAGCCTTTAAGCCTGTATGAAAGTCCTTATAAAATAGTCTTATATTCATGGTAGGCATTTTGAAAGAAAAAATTATTTTATAGTTTTATTAAATTACACCAGTCATAGTTAATAATTTCCAAAATAAAATTACAAAGAAAGCAAAAAGTTATATTACTTTTAAATGTGACTACTTTAAAAACACTAACAAATTCGTTTGCAAAATAATATTAAGAAAAAAAAAGACTCAAAGGTTGAGATAAAAACAAATTTAATATACAAATAACATACAAGGCAACAATTTAATTAGCTTTTATTAACGTTTTATTTGTTTCTTTTTTATTCTATTCTTAACTCCTTTTGATTCTTCGGTATCGTCATCATCATTTTTATTATACCGTTTCCTCTTTTTGTCTTTTCCTTCAAGTTCTTTCATTTCCTACATAGAAAAATATCCAATTAGTGAGAGTGAAATAAATACATGAGAATAAAATTTAATTTTAATTGCAACTTATTAAAGCTATATTTATTGTAAAGAAAGGAAATTGTTTTCCTAAATTGAAACTATTACTTAATACCTTATTAGAGCTAAGTCTATCAAGTTTTTTAAATTAGTAAAATTATTCAGGAAATATTACTTTCAAAATTCTAAAAATATATATATATATAAATTTCAAATCCGCATTATTTGATTACTAAACTATTACTAATGAAATATAAAAAAAGCACTGATGATAGTGTATTAATCCTTAATATTGGTATTGGTATAACTATAGTCTATCTTATTTATAATTTAAAGTGATAACATGGGTGACTGCGATTTAAAAGACATCTCTCTCCACCAAATTAAACTGTCAAAGACATGGACATAGGGAGGGAAAATTACGAAAATGCTTTTAACCTCTTTACTTAATTTTTAAAAATTATCTGTGAGATATTTAGGCTAATCAACAGTATCTAAGGCAGTCACCTCATTTGAATTTAAGATATGAAGTGTGTGATATTTCAGATACTCTTAATTTTTTTCTTAAAAAATTATATAAATTCTGTAATTAATTGTTTTGGGGCAATGTGCACTATAAGAATTTTTTTAGCATTATCCAAATTGGTTTTCATCAATTTAAACTGTAATAAATTTAAATTTTAAAAACTGGTGAGTATGTAGTTCTAAATTATTAATTTAAAAATTATAATTTTGATACAAAAGGAATTAATGCATTTTTTATTTTCAATTTATTAAATTTCTATACAAACATATTAATACACAAATCTATGCAAATATACGGAAGAGTTGGTGTGTGTTTTTTACCATTTGAGCCATGATCCTGAACCTTGAGCAGTGAATGCAAAGGACATATTAACCACTTGCCAAATATTAAAAATTTCAATAAGTAAGAAATTTGAAAAAGCAATTTTTTTCATAGTTATAAATAAAATTGCTGACAGTTTTTTTTTTGTTTTTTCCCAATCATTTAAAACATAATGTTAGTGATGTTTTCTAGTGGATTTTATTGCCCATCCACTGGAATTTTACTGCCCATTAAACAATTAATTATTTGTTACGTCAGGTTAGTTCAAGTAAAAAAAATATGGATAGTATGTGAGAGTTAAATCAACAAATTTATGTTTTTAAAACTACCTGCAACCATTTTTTTTTTATATAGGGTTTAGAGTTATGGTTCTGTAACATCTTTCTATAAACCTTAATAAATGGTAATTGAAATTGCAAAAATTAAGTAATGTATTTATGCGCATATTTATTAGGAAAAATACGTTATTGTAATAAATTTTAATTATGCTGTCAATAATATTTTAATGAGGTGAACTTTTACGTAAGATACAATAAAAAATAAAGTATCTTACTTTGTTAGCTGTTAGGGATGCTTCAACAACTCTGTCCAACAGTACCATAACTTCCTCATTTACAGTTGGATACAAATCAAGCTTTTTGCTAATTAATTCTTCAATTTTTAAATAAGCTTCCACCTCAAACCTATGCAGGGAGACAACAAAAGCATTAAAACAATTATAAAATACTTAAAAATTAATAACTGAATTTAAAAAGTCAGGTGAGGAAGGGGGAAACTTACTGAACAACAAATGTTATAGATTTTCCTCCTCGACCTGCCCTGGCAGTTCGACCAACTCTGTGTATGTAATCTTTTGAATGTGAAGGCAAATCAAAATTTATTACAACATCAACATGTGGTATATCTAAACCTCTAAAATAATAACAAAAAACACATTATCATTAATGTAATTTATTGCACATAAAATCATTTTCTACATACTTGTAAAAACAGAGAGAAATATAAACTCAAAATACAATAAAATTTTTACTTTCAAGCAGGAATTTTATATCAATTGATTTTTTTTTTTTTTTTTGTTGTTGTTGATGGATTTAAGTATAAAATATTTTTTGTCAATATCAAACATGTATGTTTTAAGGTAATGATTTTTTCTCAGTCTAGTCGAATTTCATTTTTAAAGAATTATTTTCCAAAAAATGAAGACTATAATACATGTGAATAATTATTTGATGTTCAAAATAGATAAAAAGAAACAGTAGATAAGAATGGCAAGAAAGTTTATAACTATAATTTTCCATTAGTTACAGGTAAATAATATGTAGTTTAATTAGACACAGTTAACTTTTTGATTAAAGATTAATTTTTATCTTTATTTAAATACACATGCTTTTTGAACTTATAAGTAGTTAGTATGGAAATAAATTTTATATATAGGGGCAATGCTCCGTTTTTTACTCAATGAATATTATTAAAGAATTTTGGAACAGCTTGGAGCAATTTCAGGAGAGGGGGGGGGGAGGATTTTGGAGCAAAAGTTCCAACCTTATATTATTTATTCATTTTTTTTTTTT